TAAGTACGTTGTATAATAATTGAGTCACCAAATTGCATCTGCAGTCTTAAATCAGCAAATTGACTGATTTATCGTCTTTGACGATATTAACACCTTTAGAGCTATTATGATTTACCATAATTGCAGCTTCTTCTCACCACCAAGTCAGTCATTATAATTGAGAGTTGAGCTCCCAGTACAGCTGCTGCTGAATTGGGTGATAATCCTGTTTTGGATAGCCCAGGTATTTAACATCTGTCTCACATAGTGTGAGTGCATTCCATAAGTTACTATTGATTCCCCAAAACGTATAAGATCTTGTATTATAATAGGATTCCAGACTAGAATGTTTTGTGAATTTTCACCATTTTCTGGCATTTGTTCCCAGGTAGTTAGGAAAGCCAGTGGGGATGGTCGCCTTTCCTTAATTTCATTAAGAGGTGGCTCTGTAGGTTCCATGAGCTGTCTATCTTAATCCTTGATTTCATTAGGTATCAGAGGTTCACAAGTAGGTACTTCCTGTTCTCTTATGTTTTTGTCTCTTGTCTCAAGTTTTTTTTAATTATCATAACTAATTTTTCTTGATGTACAGCTGTTTTTGTTGTTGTACAATTATTTTTCAAACTTTTTTGAGATTTGTTTCTTGCACAGTTATTTTTTCATCCTTTTTTCAAGATGAGATGCATAAAGATTGCAAATAAAAATAGGGAAAAGTTTACTCTGATGGCCACAGTTGCAATAAGTACTGCAATAGCTTTTTCAAGTATTAGTTGGATCCCGTCAATTCCTACCCTTGGTCTCATGGGAATGGAGTTTTCCATTTGTTAATGCAGGAAGAGTCTGTCCATATAATTAAAATTTTCTTTTGGGGCAGCTTACTGTGATTTGCTATCTCAGAGGCTCCTATATCATTCCTTGTTCTGGTCTCTAGGCTCCCATGGCTCCAGCGTCTCTGGAGTCTCTCTAGGTGGTTAGATGATCTTGAAGAATGGATACTTCCTCTGGAAATGAACCCAGGTGAATTTTTCCTCTACGTCTCTCTGTCAGATGTCTCCTGTCCTCTGAAGCTTTCTGTCAGATGTGGCATGTCCTCTACAACATTTGTCAAATGTCCTCTGCTTTCTGCAGTGTTGGTTGGCTTGCTTCTTCTCCAACCATGTTGGGTTTTTCTTGCAACTGTGTTGGACACTAAATGTAAATGTCACTTTTATTTTCTTAGATGAAGTGATGAGATGGTAGCCATAACCAAGCTGTGAGAATACATGGCTTGGGCTGAGCACAAAGCATTTCTTTCTCTGTTCTATCTATCCCTATCCCTGGGCCTAGAAGCTTCTAGCCTCTAAATCATCTAATCTTCTGCAAGCCCAGACCTTGAAGGCTTCAACTTCCAGCTTCCATCTACTGACCTAGGCCTAGAATGTTTTCAGTCTCTGAGGCTTACTGCTGAATAAGCTCACCCTTTCTAGTTCTTTCTTAACTCTGCCTGACTGGTTCAACTCAACTGTTCTGGCTCAAATTCCTCTCTAAGCTGACTGACTCAAATTGGCTTCTCTGGGCTTCTGACTGAACTGCTCTACTTGGAAAAACTGCCTCTGAAATCCACAAACTGAACTTCACTGACTGCAGGAACTGAATGGAACTGCATGAAGTCAACTGAACTCAACTTCTTTTCTTCCAGCACTGGTCTTAAGTGGCCTCTCTTTCCTATCAGTTCTTATGAGAGTTGAGTGAATCCTATCTCTGATTCATCCTGTCAAATCTGTCTCTGACTCATCACTTTGTCTGCCCCTCAATTAGACATGAATTTTTGGAATTAAAATGTGTACAAAAGATATGTCTGTATTCCAGCCAGAGGGATTAAATGTATATACTAAGGATGATCTATATTCTGTCCAAAGGTATTAAAAGTATGTATAAAGATATGTCTGTATTCCAGCCCAATAACATAGACCAGAATAGCCACATTGCTGGATGAAAATTTCTCTACACAAAGGATTTACAGCTCAGTAAAACTATTGATGACTTTCTCCCTCACATGCCTTCATAGCACCTTCTAGCATGATAGAAGCTAGCTAGTAGCAAGGAAGTTTATATCTCAGTTCCAACTTGACTTCTCTATGACCTGTAACCAAAGTATAAGGTTTCCTCAGCACTAGGATCTTACCATCTAGTTATGGTGGAAAACCAAGATCAATGGCAAATTCCTGTATCATTGAGGTTGGGATCTTTGGGGCCTCCCAGACCAACAACTCAGTAGAGCGGTTTCCTAAACCTGGCTCAGGGATCTTCGCTTAACAGTCCATGACTCCTGAGAAGAGTATGACCATGGACGGTTCCCCCAAAGAATAGATACAATCTTAATGTAAAATTACAATAAAACATCCATCAGCTGGTGATATGCTCGTTTTAAACAGATAAAAATAAATGCATGTATAACTTTTTAGAACTGTTATGTCCTGTGTTTCCTAAAACTACTTTCTTCCTCCTGTCTTTACTATCTAGAATTTTCTATTTCTGCAAGTTCTACTCATTTAACTAGAAGTTTTCACATGTTCATAAGCTTCTTAATGCTTGAACTGACATATGCTTCTCTAGGTTCCCATATGATGATTTTAAAAACTCAACAGTGGACATTTCATAGAAAAGGGTTTTTTTTTAAATATACTACAGAAAATAAAGCCTGAAACAGCAAGGAACAAATACCTCACAGACGCATTCAAAGGCATTACAAAGGCTGATCAAAATGGAGAAGAGCATAGCAGGGTTAACACTTACATCATAAGTCAAAGATCTAAAAACGTTAGATTCTACAATTTTCCCAGCAGTCATTCATACACAATTCAGTTGAATGGCAAGACAATCTGCCATTGCTGCTTCAGATGTGTTATAGGTTCTCTCTCAGCCTGGTTCTAGGCTAGAGTCTTCCTAGCACCACACTTTATCTCGGTTTTAGAAAAAGGAAATTCTCATTTCAAACAGCCTTGCCCAGAGCCACCTGATTCAGATGTCAAAACTGAACAGAAAGGAGGCTTGTCAAGAAGACTCAGTAGTCGGCGTGGTCCGGGCCATAAATGTGGAGAATCCCAGTAGCACCAGGACTGGTGGGTGGAGCACAGAATACAGTGAGAGAACCTTAACCAGAAATAAAGTAGTAGCGTCTTCCAAAGAGAAGAGATGTCACTAGCTGCCAAAGAAGGTAAAATAGAAGCAAAATCATACCGCCTGGCTTTTTGGAGTACTGTGTCTCCAGGGGCTGCTGCTGGCACTGAGCCTTCTGTTCTTGGTTTTCTGTTGATAAATACGCAAATGTCGTTTTTGTGAGATGCACTCAACCTTTCAAATGTTTCTTTGTGCAGTGGTGTGCCTGTTTCTAGATGTCTAGTCGTGTCTCTTTAATTTTTCATGCACAGGATCTTTATCCCATATCTCACTGGTTTTCAGTTTACCTGTTTTCACCATTGTTGGTAAAGATTGGTTCCTTCAGCCTTAGTGGGATACACATTCCCTCTATTACGGAAGCTTCCAGTCTCAGAGGCTCTCTCAGTCTCATCATCACGGGACAAGGGCTGTAGTTCAGTGACACAGTGCCTGCCTAGTGCAAACCTGGTGCGAGTGTTGTAATCAGTTTTTAATCTCAGTCAGAGAGTTCTACCCTGCCTTAAATCATTCAGTTCACAGATAAAAGACACAAAACTTTTATATTTTATAATATAAAATATATTTTATAATAAGCCTTGAAAGCACTAGAGAAGGGCAGCTATCTACCCTCTATGGCGCTATATCTACTTCTCAACCAAGATATGACCCCAAGATAAGACTGGTCGTATTTCACCTTGGCCACTCTTACTCTGGCTAGTCAGCCCACGTGGCCAGTTCTCAGGATGGCTTACCCCATGGCGACTTCTCCACTCTCCACCCTCCACTTTCTCTCCTCTTATCCTTCGTGGTCTTCTGCCCCAATCCCAGGAACCAAAACTCCATCTATCTTTCTTTTGCCCAGAGATAGCCTGTCAGCATCTTCATTCAACCAATGGTTGAATAAATACATAGGAGCAAGGTCACACAGCATCACTTGGTGTCGCTGTGGGCAGCCAGGCCCTGGGGACCAGTATCTAACATGACAATACACAGCAAAAGACTCAAACCCTAAATAGAAGAAACTTATAATTTGTGTGTTAAAGCTTTATATTTTTATTATAAATTTAAAATTTTTTAAATAATACAGACACACACACACACATATATATACACATACATACATACATACATACATACATACATACATACATACATATATGGAGGCTGATGTGTGCACATATGGATGCAGACAGCCTTGGAGTCTAGACAAGAACTTTAGCATCTCTGGAGCTGGAGATACAGACGGTTGTAAGCTGCATGTTGGTGCTTGAGATAACACTTGGGACCTGTATAAAAGCAGCAAGTATTCTTAAGCCCTGAGCCATCTCTCCAGACCCCAATTTTATATGATTAAAAAGATACATTATGTTTCCTATTCAATGGAGAAAAAACTAGTGTAAATATTATAAACCGAACTCTCACAATACTGCCATCCAGAAATGATAACTGCCTATAACTTTGTTAATGTTCGCCCTCTAGTCTCAAATTACTGCTACAAAGTTAAAAATACTTTGTATATGTAGTTGTATACTCGAGTTTTTTTCACTTACCGTTATACTATGGCTGTCACCCATGAAGTCTGAGGGAAGCAGTCCAGATCCTCTGCCTTCCTCTCAATTCCCCTCGGGAACTCTTTCACTCAGTGTAACAGGTCACCTGACCGACACCCATAGTTTAAGTTATAGCATTCCATAGCCTCTCAGCAAAAAGACTGAGATAAAGTTATACATTGCAAAATAAAAGGCAGAGTGAGAAAATGACAGTGGAGCCTTTGATTCCTGCCACTGTGAGCATTTAATCTTAGAAGAAGAAGACTTGCCTGATTCTTTTTGTTGTTGTTGTTGTTGTTGTTTGAAACTGAATTTTGTTTGTTTTCATTTCAGAAAAGTCAAAGAAGAGGAACTGAGACTGGAAGAAGAAAAACAGAGGGTGATGGAACTTGCGGCTAAGAAATCAAAAGGCAAGCACAGATTAACAACACTTGTACACCTCACTTATCCTTGCCACGTTACTGCTGCTTCTGAGTGGGTTATAAAGACATCCCCCAGTTTGCCCAGGGTGCAGGTGTATGCCTGTGTCCTGGAGGCACCTTTTCATCCCCAAAATGTTTTAATTTCCATATTAAATTAGACGCTCACTGAGGTAATGGATCTGCAGGACAAAGATTCCTAATCAGAAAAGGGGTGCTCCTAACACAAGACCCACCCGTGTACCCTCTAAGAAGGCTACAGTACAGATGTACCTCTGTCATGCTTTACACATGGCTACAGCAATTGCTTCTACAGGAAGGATCCTGCAAGATCTGACACACCAAACCCTTGCAATACTCTTTGTCTTCATACTTAAAACTTCCACCCTTTTTATGAAAGAACTTTCTCTTTAAGATTGAGGTTCTCAAACTGGGGTCTATGAATTAGACTTGAAGTCTGTGGATTCAACTCTATTTTCACTAACCTTTAACTAAGCCTTAGTGTCTCCTTTGCCTATGAACACAGACAACAAACCACAGCAATGTTAGCTGTCCCTTGACTTGCCATCAATACAAGTGCAGACATGTTTCTACTGCGTCCTAGTTATATCTGTGTTTACTGCTGTTCCTCTTATAGAAATTAAGAGGACAGATGCCAGGGGGTTTTTTGTTTGTTTGATTGGTTGGTTGGTTGGTTGGTTTTAGCATATTTTCTATAGCCCCAAATAGTTCTGTGTTTTAACAACTGTTTTTCAGTATAATTGGTTTCTGGTTCCCAGAAATGAGTGTTGAGATAATGGAGCCCTGGTCAATGGCTTCACCAAATCAGGAGACAGTAAGCCAGAGTCACTCACCTGAGCAATTGTTAAATGCTTCATTCAGGAAAACTGCCAGGGTAACGAGTGGTGGTCTGGAGAGTTTTATGACTCATCAATGTAACTAACATAACACGTAACCAGTAGCCAAATTACAAATAGTTCAAGGCTCCTAAAATGTCTTTTGACTCATTCCCAAACTTTGTGGGGCACAGATGTCTCAAAAGGGTCTTAGAAAAGGAGGGTATAAACTCTCTATAGTTTTATAACATTATATTTATATAATGTTACAAATATTTTATAATGTACCTATTATAGATGACTGTAACATAAATGAGTATACATAAATTAGGTGCGTATGAACTTTTCTTGTTGTTTTGGGTTTTTTTGTTTTGTTTTGTTTTTTGAGACAGGGTTTCTCTGTGTAGTCCTGGCTGTCCTGGAACTCACTCTGTAGACCAGGCTGGCCTCGAACTCAGAGATCTGCCTCCCAAGCGCTGGGATTAAAGGCACAAGCCACAACCACCCTGCTGCATATGATCATTTTTAATAAGTGATGTATTATTGAAAAACCATTCATGTTCCTTCATAGATCATGTCACTTCCTCACAAGCTGTAGCAAGAGTCTGTGAAAGCGGCCTCATGTTTGTGTGTGTTTCCATAAAATCATCAGCCTGACAAACATAACACAAACACGCCCGCTGTCCTGTGTCAAACCTTGGTTTTAGATCAACTCCAGATGCCAGGGCCTCACCGTCAGAACTCTGGGAAGAAAGGCCGTGGGGAAGGAAATGTAAGGAGAACTCAGAAACAATTGTGTCCATTTCATAAATATATGAGGGAGACTGGGAAATGGGGTCGCTCACACCCCATCTCCCTCGGAAGAACTTCCATGTAAAGTTTGCAATTAGACTTCCCAAGTGTACAATTAGTACATAAGTTGATATGTATATCATTACTACAATGAGCTATAACTGACCTAGTGTTATGCCTATGCCAACTGTGGTGGGGAGTTAGTCTGGTACTGCCCAATAGAAGTATGAAAGCTACACCAGTAACTTTTAATTGGTCTATGTCTTGCCTCTTGCTGTTAGAGCATTTAGGACTGCTATAAACATTTCATCTCTTAAGGGACTCCCTCCTCTGGTTCTCCAAGGGCACTCTGATAAATGACTGTCCTTCTCTACCACTGTATATTAATAGATACAATACAGTAGTCATTCATCTATGTTCACCCTTAAACCACATGCTGGGGGAGCACCAGTATTCTGTTTATTATGCAACAACCACTTGTTGGCTTTCACCGAATAATAACCTATTTCTTGTAATTCTTTGTAGATGCTGAGGATCCCAATAATGAAGCTGATGAGGATGGTGATGCTGAGGATTCTGAAATCCATGAGTCTGAGGCACGTGAAATACAAGAGTTCACCAGAACGTCATCGTTGCCCGGGGGGTCTGAGGCATCTGAGGCCCCAGAGGGGGAGCCTGAAGCTGAAGCAGGTAAGACTTGACTGATGACTCTGCGTGTACGTGTGTGTGTAAGCATGTGTGCACATGTGTGTGCACATGCGTGTGCGTGTATGTGTCCATGCATGTGTGTTTGATGTAAGCTGTCTAGGAATGCAAAGGGGAGACCTTAGAGAGTATGCAGTCCTGGGACAGGCACATGGTCTATAGGACATTTTATCCAAAATGCAAGACTCTATGTCACGTGATCCCATTTTTACATGCAAACACAGGAGCATCTAAACTCATAGAGTCACCAGACTTCCCAAAGTAAGCAGTTCTTATTTGCAGGCTCAGCTTTTATTTCACTTCCTTATAAAAGTGTCTTAGCTGGGTGTGGTGGCGCAAACCTCTAATCCCAGAACTGGAGAGGCAGAGGCAGGCAGATTATTGTAGGTTCCAGACTGGCCTGGTCTCCATACTGAGTTTCAGGACAACCAGGACTACCTAGAATGACCTTCCCCCCACCCCCACCCCCAAAAAAGGAAAGGAAAGGAAGAGAAGGGAAAAAGGAGAAAAGGGAAAAAAGGGAAAAGGAAAAGGGGAAAACGGAAAAGGGAAGAAGGGAAGGGAAAAAGAAAGAAAGAAAGGAAGGAAGAAAGAGAAAGAAGGGAAAGAAAAAATAAGTTTTAATGAGCACAGAGTAAGTGTACATATTTGGGGGTATAGTATGATAATTTAGAATATTATATAATGTATAATAATCAAATCTTTAATCTTTTAAATACCTGTCATCTTTAACATGAGTGGTTAGCTAACATGAAAGCTGCGTGAGACAAGAAGAGTATGTCGAAGTTCCCTGGAGATGTATTATGTGCCTTTAAATACCCACACTTGCTTTCATTTATTATGTGTCTGTGTGTGCACACATGTGCATGTGCATACTCTGTCTGGCTCAGCCCGTATGGTCTGTGAACAAAAGTCCGGGGAACAACCAAACCATCTGCTGGCTAAAGATTGCTCCAGATAATTTAGCTCTGGCCGTTCAATTTTTTTGCAATCGCTGTAGTTCTCATTCATGAGTCTTGCAGAAGGTTCAGCTCTTTCCAGAACTTCTGATGCCCACTCTGCTCCTTTACAGACATCTACCCAGCGAAATGTGTTCTGCCGCTCAGCTTTGTACCTCACTCACACACACACACACACACTCACACACACGCACACATGCACACACACGCATACAAGTGTGCACATGCGCGTGCGCACACACACACATGCACGTATATTCTTTCCCTCCAGCTGTTGTTCATATGGCTGGCTGCTTTGGGCAGGTGTGATGTCTTTCTGCCCATGCCCTCATCAGCGTGACAGTGTCTTAGTTTAGTCACTGTTCCATTGCTCTGGGGAGACAACATGACCGAGGCAACACTTACATAGTTTAACCTCAAGTATGTACCATAAACATCAAATTGCTAATTTTGGTTTAGAGTGAAAATTCAGTTTCAGTTAGGAATTAACAGTACAAGACATAGGTTAACTTTAGAATAGGGATGGGAGGGAATAGGTTTTCAAGAATTTTTCTCTTATTTTTTGGATGATTTCTTTTCAATAATTTATTTTTTTATCCACTTTACATCCTGATCACAGCCCCCCTCCTTCTTTCCCCCAGCTCCTACTCTTACATCTTTGGGGTGCATGCCCAGGAGTGGTGTAGCTGGGTCTTGGGGTGCATG